CTGATCTGCCTCGCCCGGGAAGAGCGCAATGATGGTGCCAACTTGGGCCAGTGAAGCAACGTCCTCCACAACTAGACTGAAGAACAAAAAATATATATATATATATATTAAAATGAAAGAGAAATGCCTTTAAAAAAAAGGCTTTAAAACAATAAGATGTCTCTATACATGTATTAGAGCAACCAAAATCCAAAACAGTGACAGCACCAAATACTGGTGAGGCTATAGAGACACAAGAACTCTCATTCATTGCTGGTGGGAATGCAAAATGGTACAGCTACTTTGGAAGGTAATTTGGCAGTTTCTTAAGAAACCTAAACATACTCATATAATCTAGCAATCATGCTCCTTGGTATTTACCCAAATGAACTGAAAATTTATTTGTGCAGAAAAAGCTGCTATAAGGGATATTAACAGCAGCCTTATTCATAATTGTCAAAATTTGGAAACAACCAAGATATCCTTAGGTAGGAAAATGGATAAACTGTGGTATATCCAGACAATAGAATATTATTCAGTGCCGAGAGTAAATGAGCAATCAAGCCAAGGAGAGACATGAAGGAAACTTAAATGCATTTTACTAAGTTAAAGAAAGCAATTTGAAAAGCCTACATATTTCACGAGTCCAACTATATAATATTTTGGAAAAGGTAAAGTGAGGAAGACAGTAAAAAGATCAGTGGTTGCCAAGGGTTGAGGTTGGACAGACTGATGAATCAGAAGATTTTTAGGGCAGTGGAACTATTATGTATACTCTAAAGGATACATGTCAGTATACATTTGTCAAAACTTATATAGCATGTACAACAGCAGGAGTGAACACTAATGGAAACTCTGAACCTTGGGTGATAATGATGTGTCAATGTGGATTCATCGATTGTAAAAATATGCCACTCTGGTGCAGAATGTGTCTGTGAGTGTGTGTATATTAATGGGATACAGGAGGTATATGGGAACTCTCTGTACTTTCTGCTCAATTTTGCTGTGAATCCAAACTTCTCTAAAAAAAAAATAAAGTGTATAAAAGAAAAGGACACTCACTCCATAGGGCCCTGAACCTTCTAAGGACAGTGCAGGTGGCCATGATTGAATATGCAGCTGTGGAACTAGAAATAGAAATGAGACAAGCCAAGGAGATCTTCCAGACTTGCATCCAACTGTGGTTTCTTCATGAGTTAGTTATCGAAGTTTGCACCTGAAATAAACGACTGATTTACAGTTTCTCTGGACCTTATACATGGGAATAAAGGCTTCACTAATGAATCATACTTTTTCTGCCTTTAAATGGCAAGGATTAAATGAGAATTACAGAGCATTCACAGTATTTGTTTGATTATTGTTACTGGTCTTTAAGACACAGTGAAAGTTTTACCACCTTCGCTTACTAGAAGAACTTAAACAGGTGGAATATCTGATAACCACTACATCCTCATATCATTCATCCAATTAGTTGGATAGAAAAGACAATTTTTTAAAAACCTAACATCTCTGGTATATGATCAGATCATGTCCCAAATACTCATGACTGTTCCTTGAACAGTTCCTTTAGGACTAACGCTGAGCCCACTCAGACACATTCTAACTAAGAAAAAAGTGGAAGTTATAGAAAATCGACTTTAGAAATGAGAAGTCAGTGGTTACCAGAGAGGAGGGAAGGAGGGGGGTGGTAGATGAGGGTAAAAGGGATCAAATATATGATGATGGAAGAAGAACTGACCCTGGATGGTGAACACACAATGTGATATATAGACGATGTATTACAGGATTGTACACCTGAAACCTATGTAACTTTACTAACAATTGTCACCCCAGTAGACTTTAATTTAAAAAAAAGAAAAAGAAATGAGAAGTGAAGTATTTGGAATCTGAATCTAAGAAGGAGGGGTTGATTGCTCTCTACCCAATTATTCTGAAAGACATGATGATGTGTTTAAAGCACCAGAAATGGAAATACAGTTGTGTTGTTGGTAGGTGACGCTTTTATGAGCCAGGCATTTTCCTAAATGTTTTACACTTATTATAACCCCATGATATAGATGAGAAAACTAAGAACACTGAGAGTTTATGTTACCCATCTAAATTATAATGATGACAAAATACAATATTAAAAAATAAGAGACTTTTAAAAAAATTCAAAAAACAAAACGAGATCTTATATATTATAATAGATATAATGTAGGAGAAATTAAAACTCAATGAAAGATGAGGAAAATAATATCGAAAGGTAGAATGATAACGTAAAAGGTTTTAAAATAGGTGCTATTGGTCAGGAAATGAGGAAACAATCTAACACAGACCAAGAGATTTTGACAAAGGGGATTCTGACAATATTATCAGCAAGGCGAAGGGGACCTACCAGGAGTTAAGGTACGCAAAGTCTCACAACAGTGGGAAGCTGAACCTGAAGGAGGCCAACAGTCTCTAGATGAAATGGACCAATTGCTGATGTGTTTGTGTAGCTTGAGAAGAGGTTTTTAGTTCAGGGTTTGAGGATAAAAAGAAACTTATAAACTGCAGGATGGGAAAATGTTATAAGAAAAAGGAAATGTAATCGCAGTACACCTCATAGCTCAGGTATTATTTTCATTTTATCTAGAAATAATAATTGATATGATAATTCATCTAACAAAGACAATGGAATCATGGTGAAAATGTGGGGAAGAGAAGTGTATACATGTGTATAGTAGGGGTGGTCGAGAAGTTAAAGAGCTAAATATTTTATTTTTTTGTAAAGTCAATAGACATTATTTATATTAAGAAGTATTGGAATAAGCATATTAAATATAACCATATTCAGTCTGACAAAGACCCTCTGGTGGAGATATAAAGTTCAAAGGAGACATATCTCTCCTCAGATGCTTACAGATATGAACAAATAAAAATATCAATAGATAATTGCCATTATGAAGAAACATGCAGGTATTTTAGGAGCTGGTAGGAAGAAGCACTTCTCTGCATTTTGTTTTCTGCTCTAATACACAAATATGACCTTTTTGACACCCATTGACAGAACGATCTGAGAAAAATGATCACACACATACACATGTACATTGTATCTACACTAACCAAAATTATTTTCAATGTTCTATTTTATTCTATTAAAAAAATTCCCAACTATTCTTAACACAAAATAATCAATTAGCATTACATTCATCTTTATTTAACTATAACCATCAGTTGTGAGAATTCTAACAATCAAATTTTCTTTTTTTGATATTAACCTCTTTGCATTTGTGAGCTTACTATAAAGAGTATCCACTGTTTAGAATACGAGATCAATATATTAGAAATCATATCAGACTTACTATACAATCAAAAAATTGAGAATACGCAAATCCTAAGTTAAAATGACAACCAGTGCCATCTAGTGTATATATATATTAAGATTTTTATTGGGGAATTGGGAGATGGGAACAGTGCTGGGGAATTGGGGAAAGGGGAACAGACAAGTTGCCGCCCTTTTGTTCTTCAGTCTAGTTGTGGAGGACGTTGCCTCACTGGCCCAAGTTGGCACCATCATTGCGCTCTTCCCGGGCGAGGCAGATCAGCCACCAGCTTCTGGACAGCCACTCACAGCGGCTGCTGGCCGCTCACGCTGGCTGCTGGCTACACATGGTAGCCCATGGCAACCCACTTCAGCAGTGGCTGCAGCCTAGGCCATCGCCGGAGACTCATGGCAGCCCAGCTCCAGGTGGAGCTGCTGTTCAGCATCTTAGCTGTAGAGGGCAGTGTCACTGGCCCTCATATGTGGGATCCGAACCAGGGCCCTCTGGTGTCCCAAGCCAACTCTTAACCACCGCGCCACTTGGCCGACCCCCATCTAGTATATTAAGATAAATGATTGGTGGTAATCAAATACCCTCTGCTAGACCATAGTGAGTATAGTATTTCCTCTGCGTTCTGTGTGTCACCAGTTACCTTTTCATAGCCATCACTGATTTCTGGATTGTTACTGGGCATTTTAAAGACCAAGGCTGCAACTTTAAATTCCTGAAAAAATATTACTTTTCACATTCTGCAACAAGGTTTCCCAGTTAAGTTTAAGTAGCATGCCAAATATAAAAACTACATTATATCTAGGATTTCCCATCCAGAAATTCGGTCTATTTTTACCAAATACATCATAAAATAACAGAAACTATCACACATATTAATTGATAAATTTCAAACAATTATAGGTATTAAAATTCTATAATTCCAGAGTAACCTGAAAGTAATCACATAATTTTTTATTAATGAGGCATATTTCATCTACTTGGAAAAGTCTTAAGTTTTCTGACGCTTAAATTCAAGTTCCCCTTTTATTTTTAAGGGAAAAAAATATAAATTCATT